AAGTATGTTTTACGTAAATTAACCTAGCAGGAACATCAGTAAGGAAAGAGACTCGGGTCAGGGAGACTGGGTTAAAATGTGTCATTTGACTGCTCTTCATGCTTTATTCAAGTTCTTAATTTTGTGTATTTTTACATAACACTCATGCTTTTTAAAGCAAATCGTTCCAAGTGAGCCAGGCTTGCTCTTAAGCAATTTCACGTACAAATTAAAACAGGAGCGTTTTTGTAATTTGGTTCAATCCCTTATGAGTGAATTTATATATAACTGACATTTCTTACCTTATCCTTGCTTTTTAAAAGGGTGAAACAGATCACCAGCCCAGGCTGGATGCATGAGACAAGTGCTCGGGCCTGGTCCACTGGGAAGACCCAGAGGAATCGGGTGGAGAGGGAGGTGGGAGGGGGGACCGGGATGGGGAATACATGTAAATCCATGGCTAATTCATGTCAATGTATGACAAAAACCACTACAATATTGTAAAGTAATTAGCCTCCAACTAATAAAAATAAATGGAAAGAAAATAAACAATTAAAAATAAACACCATTCCGTGTTTGAGGAATTCCTAGCAATGTTGTTACCAGCCTCTTGATTCAGTGGTAACTGTCTTGGGCTACTCTTTAGCTATGGCCAACTGTTTGAGATGAGTAGGGAATTGATGGTGCTGGAACTTCCTTCCAGCCATGCCAAAGTTTTCTGGCACTTGGGTAGAGCTCTACTAATGGAGCCCTCCTGGATCTTGTCCCGTTTCTTTCTTCCCATGATGGAAGTGGAGTAACTCTTCTGATTGGTGAGTTTGGGAGAGGAGCTGTATATTCATAGTTCAGCCAGGCCCTTTTGGGTGTGAGCTGCCTGGAGAAGGCAGTGTTTCACTCGCTCTGTGCCTCCCTGCCCTGAGTTTTCCTTGGGCAACCCCCCTCGTGAAGAGACCAGTAGAATCCATGCTGCTTGGACAGGTGGGTATGTGACTGCGTGCTCAGTCACGTCCAGCTCTTTGTGATCCTGTGGACTGTAGCCCACCAGGCGGGTCCTCTGTCCATGGAATTCTCCAGGCAAGAATACTGGAGTGGGTTAAATCCATGGCTGATTCATGTCAATGTATGACAAAACCCACTACAATATTGTAAAGTAATTAGCCTCCAACTAATAAAAATAAATGGAAAAAAAATAAACAATTAAAAATAAACACCGTTCCGTGTTTGAGGAATTCCTAGCAGTGTTGTTACCAGCCTCTTGATTCAGTGGTAACTGTCTTGGGCTACTCTTTAGCTATGGCCACCTGTTTGAGATGAGTAAGGAATTGATGGTGCTGGAACTTCCTTCCAGCCATGCCAAAGTTTTCTGGCACTTGGGTAGAGCTCTACTAACAGAGCCCTCCTGGATCTTGTCCTGTTTCTTTCTTCCCATGATGGAAGTGGAGTAACTCTTCTGATTGGTGAGTTTGGGAGAGGAGCTGTATATTCATAGTTCAACCAGGCCCTTTTGGGTCTGAGCTGCCTGGAGAAGGCAGTGTTTCACTCGCTCTGTGCCTCCCTGCCCTGAGTTTTCCTTGGGCAACCCCCCTCGTGAAGAGACCAATAGAATCCATGCTGCTTGGACACGTGGGTATGCGACTGCGTGCTCAGTCACGTCCAGCTCTTTGTGATCCTGTGGACTGTAGCCCACCAGGCGGGTCCTCTGTCCATGGAATTCTCCAGGCAAGAGTACTGGGGTGGGTTGCCACGCCTTCCTTCAGGGTATTTTCCTGACCCAGGGCTCGAACCCATGTCTTCCGCATCTCCCGCATTGGCAGGCATGTTCCTTACCACTGAGCCACCCGGGAAGCCATACAGGGTGGATAAATCCATCTAATTCTGGAATTTACTGGTAGAAAGCCTATTTTCTTTGTGCCTAAAGCTAAATTCTGAAGTATAATGATAAAGGTGATGTTTTGAGTTCTCTTCTTCCTTTCTTGCTGGTCTGATTTCTTCACTGGCTCAGAATTTAGGCAAAGGGAAGAGGTATGCTCCTTATCAAATCTGCGTGAACTTAACAGCATTGTTAAGTGAGGGGAGAAGGAGATTAATTGTATTTTCATGGCAAGTGTGATGGTATTCAGATTTCGCACAGAAGGAACTCTGTTTCTGTCTGAAACTCCAAGGAGAAAAGTACTGACTCTGCCAGATGAGTTCTAAGACGCACATCCCAGCTGAGTATCCCCACGGAAAAGACCAGGTCCTCAAAGTACACACAGCCATCACAGAGAACTCAGACTCAGCGTGGACCTGCGTGAGACAGAACTGGAGCATGAGACAGCCCCTCTCCTTAACAGCCAAAGCTGGCGGTCAGCTTGTGGAGAGAAGAGCGGTATCTTCTATAGGAGTTCTTAGTGATTAGTATCAACTACTTGGTAGGCTAAGTAATGGTCTCTTGAAGATGCCATGTCCTAACCTGCAGAACCTATGAATTATCTTAGTAAAGGACTTCAAGGATGAGGTTTAGTTAAGAAGACTGAGATGAAGCAATGATTTTGGATTATTCTGGTTTTCCCAATGTAATCATGATGTAATCCTTATAAAAAGGAGGCAGGAGAGTCAGAATCAGAGAAAGATGTGGTGGCAAAAGCAGAAGCCAGAGCATCAGAGAGAGATATGGAGATGCTATGCTTCTGGCTTTGAAGATGGAAGAAGGGGCCATGAGGATGAAGAGGGCCTCTGGAAGCTGGAGAAGGCAAGGAAATAGATTCTCCCCTGAAGGCTCTGGAGGAACCAGTGCAGTCTATACCTCGACGTTAACCCAGTGAGACTGATCTTCGACTTCTTGCAGAACTATGCGACCAAAAGTTTGAGTTTTGTAAGCTAGTAAGTTCACACTAGTCATTAGAGTATCACTGGGGAACTATTACAAGTACCTAAGCAAGAATTATAACCTGACAGAATGTCACTTTTAACTTAATTGTTTCATCAACTCTGTTTTGAATAAGATAGTCTGATTTACAACTCACAAATCCATAGGATGGGTATAAGTTTGGTTTGATTTTCCAGGCTGCCACAAAATATTAGGTACCACACCCACTTGTTTATGTGTTGGCTACTTTTACATTATATTAATAACAGCAGAGTTGAGTCGTTAGAGCTGAGATCATATGGCCCACAGAACCTAAAATATTCACTATCTAGACCTTTACAGAAAAAAATTTGCTGACTGTTGTGGTAGATGCTGAGGCTGTTTAGCTACATCATTTTCCTGCTCTCAAAGAGCTTGGAAACTAGAGTAGAGGTTGGAAAAGAAAACCACCTAGTACAGTGAAGATATTTTTTCTAATTGTGTAAACCATGAGAGTGAGATTATAAAGAAGGAAATGATTAGTTCTTTCCATGAAAAGTTTTTTAAAAGGCTTTGAAGAGGAGATGCAGTTTAAGTCGAACGTCACAGTATGTATGCACTCAGTGGGCAGGAAAGATGTAATTCAGACGAAGATTCAGTGTGATAGAAGGAGGTGGGAAGCAAACAGAAAAGTGTAGGAATCACTCATTAAGTTACCCTCGTGGCTCAGATGGTAAAGAATCCGCCTGCAGTGCGGGAGACTTGGGTCTGATCCCTGGGTTGGGAAGATCCCCTGAAGAAGGACATGGCTACCTACTCCATTATTCTTTCCTGGAGAATCCCCATGGACAGAGGAGCCTGGCGGGCTACAGTCCATGGGGTTGCAAGAGTTGGACACGACTGAGCGACTAAGCGACTGCACAGCACAGCCCAAGCAACTGTAGCATCTGGTGTGTGGGGGGAACAGAAGGAGTAAGGGAGGCCAGTGGTGGATGGGTCCTAGAGACAGAGAGAGGGAGGAAACCTCCAGAACTCTTTAACTGTGATGTGGGAATCCCCTTGCTATCTCGTTGCAGTCTTCATCAGAGCTGCAGCTTTCCAAATGAGTCACATTTTTACAACTGATACTGTCATCTTTAATCACGTAAAGATGGAGAGAGTAGCAGGGGTGGATCTGGTCATTGTGACATTAGCTTCTTGACTGATGTCTTTGTAAAGATAAGTTTTCATAGCAAAGTTAAGTTTTATAATTGGGAAGCTATGACACTCTTCTGAAATTGCTGGCTAGTCGTTGTATTGAGAACAGGAATCCCATTTTTCAACGCACAGTATGGACAATACATGAAAGAGAGTACAAAGGTTAAGGGGAGAGATATCTTGAGAAGCCCCCCTCATAGTTGTATAAAAATGACAAGTGCATGAAGGTGGGAAAGAAAATTCTTTTTGTAGAAAAGGTTATTCCCAAAGTGGATTTTTCCCTGGGCAAGCTTTGCCAATTGCGCCTCACATGGTGCATAGAGAAGGTGCTCTCCTTTTCATCATTCTTTTGTCATTGAAATCTGCCTTCTTGATTGCCCCTTCCTCTAAGTCTGGATTCAGGTAAGGGATGAATTCGAACTCCACCATGTTCTGTTGAGAGAAGAAAGATTGAATGAAAAGTGTGTGCACTGAGAGGATATGGGAGAAACTTTTATTAGGGACCATAGAATTATAACCATAATTATACCTCATAGAGTTCCAGCATGTTGTATTTAAACTGCATTTGACTAGTTCTTTGTATTATTTATATTTGTTATTACAAATTGATCCTGAATAATACCAATTTCTTAATAAAGAATTGCAGAACTGGATCTATTTCATTACCTAGCTGTGTGGCCTTTGACAAATTCTTGTGTCTTTCTGAGGACAAGTCTCTCCAAGCGCAAAATAACAATGCTTGGGACTTGGTCATTGAGGGGTGGAAGAACATTGGATCTGAGGCCAGAGAAACTTGGGCTTCCCGAGACAGCTCTAACTCAGTTACCTCTAATATGCTACTCATTTATTCTGTGATCTTGGACAAATGGCCCTTCTAAACAATAGTTTCCTTATCTGTAAACAACAAGAATGATACTGGAATACCAAAATGTTCATTTGGGTTTTTCCATGAAAACCCAAATGAACTTTTTGGCCAACCTGATACATAGACATCTTACGATGCTACTAAAGAGACTAAAAAGTAAAGGAGAATTAAAAACTAGTCAAGAAAGACTTCATCTACCACTGGATCTTTTACAGACTGACCTGCTGCAGTTCATAGGGTCACAGAGATCCAGTTTGTAAAAGATCCAGAAGAATTTAAGAAAGGTAAGATCATGAGTTTAAAAGGATGTTTCATCAATTGTTTTTAATATATATTGAGAGCTTTAATCATAATCCTAACTCCTACCCAAAATCTCCCTCTTGTAAATCTTTCTTAAGAAAAATAATATTTGGGATTATTTTTTGATAGCAAAAGTTAGAACTATTTTATAGTGAATATTTAACTAGTGATTGATAAAGTAGGCTGCCACTTTGTGGATTATTATGGGGTTTATTAATATGGGTTTATGATTCTATAGCTCCTGGTGGAGTCTCTTCCAACTTTTCTTTAAAAACACAATGACAACATATACAATATATTTAAAAATCACAGCATTAGTATGTGATACAATTTTTCTCCTAGGAAAAAGATATGAAAGTTTATGGTATTGTACCTGGAGGAAAAAGGAAATCACAACACTGAACATTCCTACTGACACACAACCTAGAATCTTTGATAATTTTCTGATCACTGGAATTGGATTGATAAAAATCAATCAGTGGCATACCAATGCATCATCCAATCAAGACTAAGAAATCCTGGACTAATATGGGCCAAGGTGAGATAATATTTCATTCCTTTCCCACTCTCTGCCCTCTGGTTCTGTGACTCAGGATCTTTCTTCTGTTGTTCAGTCACTAAGTCATGTCCAACTCTGTGACCCTATGAACTGCAGCAGGTCAGGCTTCCCTGACCTTCACTATCTCCTGGAGTTTGTTCAGATTCATGTCCATTGAGTAGGTGTTGCCATCCAACCATCTCATCCTCATTAGAAAACCAGGTAACCATGTTGAAATCAGATAGGTTCTGTGCTTTGAGGAGGCCATAGTTGTCTTCTTCGTTGTCGGCTCTGGACTGAAGATTTGTCTTTTCCCCAAAATTCAAGTTAAAACCATAATATCATGGAATTTGGAAGTTGGCCTTTGGGCAGTATTTAGGTCATGAGGGTGGAGCTATTACAATGGGATTAGTGCCCTCATAATTGGCAGGTGGGTGGCTGAGATGGTAAAGAATCTGCCTGCAATGCAGGAGACCCATGTTCCATCCCTGGGTCGGAAAGATCCCCTGGAGGAGGAAACGGCAACCCACTCCAATATTCTTGCCTGGAGAACCCCATGGACAGAGGAGCCTGGTGGGCTACAGTTGCAGAGTGGGACATGACCGAGTGACTCTCATTTCACTTTCAGTGCCCTTATGAGAAGATACATGAGAGAGTTTCCTCTGTCTTCTCTCTGCCCTGTGAGGATCTACAGAGGAGAAGGCCATGTACAAGTCAGAACCCTCACCAGACATTGCTGGCACCTTGATCTTGGGCTTCTCAGCCTCCAGAACGACTAGCAGTGACTGTTGGCTGTTTAAGCTGCCGAGTGTGCAGGGTTTCTCACAGCAGCCCACGGTGTCCTTTGCTGCATCCTTCAGTGTCGTTTTGCAAAGTCTCCTTTCCACAAAGCAGGGTCGGACCTGGCAGGACAGGGATGATGATGGTGGTCATCTGGTTACTGTTGTGCTTTTGCATTCTGGGAGCAGAATTCCCTCCAGTAAAGTACTCTAGAGGAGATGGCAACAGATGCCCAGCAGTTGGGGTGCCAGCTCAAGCCATGTGGCTCAGAGTTTCAGAGAACCATGCCGTAAAGGTGGGACATGTTGTGGACCAGGAGAGCTAGCCCAGATGAATTCCTGCTCGGCGCTTGCCAGTAGCTCTGCGAATTAACAGCAGTCCAGTTCTGCTTGAAAGTGAAGATGATAGATACAGAGGGCAGTGAACAGTGGGCAAGCTAAAAGTAATTAAAACTCTCTTTCCNGACTTCTGCCTGTGATTAATTCATTGGTCAGAACCATGTTACACAGGCAAGGTAGGTTGGGAAATCTATTGTTAGCTGTGACTATTTCTACACCCAACTAAATCAAGACTCAGTAAGAAAGGAGAATGGATCTGCATTGGGTCAACAAATAGCAGTATCTACCATGTCTACAAAAAATAAAAATAAAAAATAAATAAAGTCTATTCCAAGAATCAGAGCTGTAGACAGTTCCCAGTAAACCTCACCTGTGCAGCTCTAGGAAATCAGAGAGTAGTTCTTGTAGACAACTAGATCTTATAGAGAATTCCCAAATCAAAGTTAAAACTATACTAGCCACAGAATATAGGAAGTGGGTTGACCGTAAAAGTTATTTACTTAACTTCTATTCTATAATTAGGAATCTAGTTATCATTCCATGGATACTGTCTGAAATTCTAAAAATTATAAAATAAAATAAGAATCATAACATTAATTGCTTGGGTGGAAGTGGCCAAGGGATTAACTGATTAAATAATGGAATTGTTACCTGTTCTTCCGCTTTCTTCAAGTAATGGAGTGGAGTTGAGGTCTACTCCCTCTCTCTTCCTCTTTTTTTACCCAATCCCTCTGTCTCCAGCCTTGAGTTTATAAAAACTCAGAGCCTCTCAAATATTTCCTTTGTTGGGCCACAAACCCCTGTTGGCAGGGGTTAGGGGCAAGGGAACCAAGCTGGGGGCTGGCCCCTCCCCTGGTGGGTGGGGGAGGGGACAGGGCTTCCTCTTGTTAGAGTTAACTCCGTGTGTGCCAGCAGGTTGCTCTGCAGTTCTGTGCTTGGTATAGAATAGGCGTTCAATAGATATGCAGTTGAATGCAGGTTTTCACTGATTTGTGATAGCTTTACTGTTTTCTCACAGATTCGTTGTCTTAGATTTTATAATCCACAAATGAGCTAAGCCACTGCAGATAATACAAAGTTGCATACAAAACAAAATCACTGAAACAGCAAAATAAATACTATGCACAAGAAAAAATAATAACAAGCAAAGGAAGTAGTTCATCGAAGTGATCACCATGGATGAGATTCACTGGTGGAAATTTTCTGTATTTTCTAAAATGTTTAACCAATATGCACTAATTTCATAATAAAAAACAGCTTCTTAAAAGTATTTTCAGATGTGTTTGCACTTTTGGGTGGATTTAGGATTTTGTTTACGTGATGTCATAAAGCTCAACTGATTTGGTAGTTTCTTAGACAACCAACAGATTTAATAGCAAAACACAAAACAAACAAAAAACCCACTCAGACTTGGAATTTGTCCCTAGTATGACTGAGGTCTTTACTTTATAATTGTTCTATTCTCATATTAAGATGACAGATGATCTGTGCATGACATTATCTCATGCATAAGAACAGGATAAGATACATACTTAAAAGAACAGTAAACAGTGGTCACAAAACATCACCTATGTGTCCCTCCATGCGCCTTGTGTTTCTAACTTAAGTTGCTAGTACAGAATTTATCCTTACTGTTGTTTGAAGAGCCTCTCTGCCTGTGAGTTAGCCTGCGAATTACCTGAGACTAGGAACCATACCTTGCTTGGAGTAAGTTAAGTGCTCAACTGATGTCCTCCCACGATGCCCTGGGCTTCCGCTTCTGAAGCGCTCATCAGAACTGTAAGGGGTAGGCATGTGCTGTGTGTGCTGTGTTTAGTTGCTCAATCCTGTCTGACTCTTTGCACCTCCAGGCTCCTTTGTCCATGGGGATTTCCAGGCAAGAATGCTGGGGCGGGTTGCCATGCCCTCCTCCAGGGGATCTTCCCAACCCAGGAATCAAACTGGGGTCTCCAGCACTGTGGGCAGATTCTTTACCAGCTGAGCCAACAAGGAGTAGGTATAGTCCTCATTGCTTGGACTTGCTGTGGAAGGATCTCCACTAGAGTAGTCAACCTGGTCTCTTATACCATCTGGCTTTTTGTTCTTAGCCAACTGGGCTTACCCAGGGAAGGGGCTCTTTTCTTTGGTGGAGAAGCCCAGACAAATGGCAGGGCCATCCTGGGTTAGCTCCTGGTCAGATAGGAGATAAAGGTTGTCCCAGATTGTTGGCAGGGGGTTTTCCCAGGTATTGCAGTTGGTAAAGAATCCACCTGCTCAATATAGGAGACCAAGAGACATGAGTTCAATCCCTAGGTCCGGAAGATCCTCTGAAGAAGGATTTCCTTCTGGAATGGCAACCCATTCCAGTATGTTTGCTGGGAGAATCCCATGGACAGAGGAATCTGGTGGGCTACACCATGGCGTTGTAAAGAGTCAGACACAGCTGAGCATGCATGCTATTGGCAGAGGATCTGAATGATTTTTGGCTCTGTCTTCCCACAGGGATTCTCAGTTAGATGATTAAACTACTGTACTCTCCTGTGAAGGAGGCCTGCAGTTTCATGAAAATTCAATTCAGGGGCATATTAGAAGGCTTAGGTGATTAAGCAAGCCACATGCTCCAAACAGCTTTACCTGTCATAAAGCAGTGCATGGACTTCACCTGTCTGACTCCTTGTCTCTCTCAGGTACTTTAGAACTTGGATCTGGGAGAAGTGGTATAATAATGTGACATCCTAAAATACCAAAGTCATTTTCAATCTAATATCTATATTGCCTACTAGACTGACAGGTTCATGGAAAGCATAGTTCCTATATTTATTTGTTTCACCATTGTTCTACCAGTGCCCATCACAGTTCCTGGTATACAGTAGGCAATGAATAAATATTTTACAGTACATAAGTGAATTTGTCTTTTAATTATTCTTCTTAGTACAGCCCTTGTTTTACTCTGCCCGGGATGCTGTGACAAAATCACCATAGACTCGGTGGCTTATGTAACAGACATTTATCATCACAGTTCTGGAAGCCGGTAAGTCCAGGATCAAGGTGCTGGCAGATTTGGTGTCTGGTGAGGGCCCTCGGGGTGGTTTGCAGACAGACACTGTCTTGCTGTATGCTCATGTGGCAGAGAGGGACAGACAGACAGAGACAGAGAGAGCAAACTCTCGTCCTTTCCTCTGCTTATAAAGGCACTAATCCCATCCTGGGGGCTCCACTCTCATGACCTCTGACTGTCTTTAAATCTAATTAGCTCCCAAAGGCCCCACCTTCAAATCCCATCCCATCAGGAATTAGGGTTTCAGCATGTGAATTTTGAGGAGACACAATCACCAAGTCCATAGCAGTCTGACAGCAGAGAGTCAGACACAGCTGGGTGACTTCCACTTGATTCCCTGACCATGGATGGAACCTGTGCCGCCTGCAGTAGAAGCTTGGAGTCGTAACCCTGGACTATCAAGAAAGTCCCCCTACCTGACCTTTTCCATGTTGCTTCTCAGCCTGGTGCCTGGGGTGGGGGCGGGGGAATCAGAGAGAGAGGGGAACCCACTGATTTCCTGTTTGCATGCCTCACCTCAGGAACTGTGGAAGAGAATTTATATTTTATTGAAAAGTACAAAATTTGAAGTGAAAGAGGAAATGAGGGCACCGAACAACAATAGTAATAAGATTGAGAATCTGCTCCACATTCCATGTAGACAAAGAGCATCCATTTCATTTCCTTGCATGAGAGATTCTGTCCAGGCACTGACCCACCTCCCACATCCATGGGCTTTTTTGGGGCCATGCCTCCTGCGATGTGACTCCACCTAGATTCTCAATTAAGAACGGAACGTTTTATTCACTTTCACCACACAGAGGAATGATACTGTGTGTGGAACATCTGCAAATCTCAAGTGTGGGCCTCATGCAGTACCAGTTTCCCACACATAAATCTTTCTGTGAACTGAGGTCCACTGATACTTGCCTTTATAGGTAAGTGTGAGGCCAAGCACACATTGTCCTTTGGAGCAGAAGACCAAGACCCCGCTTTCCAAAGGGAATAAAGTCTACAGATTTGAACAATAGCTTATGATCCTGTTGAGTGTCTGCTGTTTCCTCCTGCCCTGCTCCACTTTAGGTGCCTGGGAGCTCGCTCCGGCAGCTGTAATCTGAGACTGTCAGAGTTGGAAGGTGTGGCCTCTTCACCCATCCAGAGCTAGTCTTCCTGCTCAGCTTGCTCAGTACAACCTGTTTTCCCTTCTCTGTGGCCAAGGAGGTGGCAATGTCTTTGAGATATATCTTCACTTCATCTTCAGACAGCTTGTATGAGTTAGTCATCTTCAATTCTTGGCAACCCCATGGACTATATAGCCTGCCAGGCTCCTCTGTCCATGGAATTCTCCAGGCAAGAATACTGCAGTGTTTGGTCATGCCCTCCTCCAGGGGATCTTCCCAACTCAGGGATCAAACCCAGGTCTTCTGCATTGCAGGCAGATTCTTTACCATCTGACATACCAGGAAAGCCCTGCTTAAATCAAATGAATTTGCTGCTTAATGCCCTAGATGCCCAACTAGGGAATGGCTAAAAAACTAAGCAAATGAAAAACTGGTGCTTCCATGTGATAGAATGTAATGCAGCTATTAAAGATCCCATTTTAGGAAAAAATACTGAATCCCCTGGGAAGAGATTTATGTTATATTACTAAGTAAAAAGAGCAGGTTATAAGGCAGTAGGTATAGCATAGTTCAGATAGATGGATAGATGATAAATAGGTGATAGAGTGAGTGAGCAAGTGAACTTGAAGAATGGTGAGTCCTTTGAAACACTTAACTCCACCCTAAGGAAATGTGTTTCTATAATCTTCCATTTTGCCTTTGTAGTGTTAGCCACTCAGTCATGTCTGACTCTTTGCAACACCATGGACTATAGCCCACCAGGCTCCTCTGTCCATGGAATTCTCCAGGCAAGAACACTGGAGTGGGTAGCCATTCCTTTCTCCAAGGGATCTTTCTGACCCAGGGTTCGAGGGTCTCTGCCATCATAGGCAGATTCTTTACCATCTAAGCCACCAGGGAAGCCCATATTTGGCCTTACACTATCTA